TCAATCATTCAACAGTGTATTAGTTAGAATTTCGAAAAAAACACGAAAGCGAAGTAGACTTGCCTAAACACTGGCCCTTTGAATTATTCCAGTAGTCATGTCACTTAGAATACACACAAGGGGACGTAAGACAACTTCACGTGCTATATTACGCCTCTATTGTTGTCATGCGATTGCAGATGATAAAAGCTAGAAACGGTAGGGAGACAAGAATAGGACCCTGAGGCACACCACTCAGCATCGGGAACCAGTTAGATACAGAGAAGCCAACTCTAGATGACTGCTACCTCGTGTAACGACTATCTCTACGACAACTTACCTTCGGTGTACACCCATAAGCTGAAGTCCCTTATACAGAATATCCTGGTTCAGCCTGCCAGAAGCCTTTAAAAATTCGAGCAAACAAATATGAATGGGCTTCCTCTGCTCAACAGAAGTTGTTTCCGAATTCCTGAGCTAGGAAGTTTGCTGCCTCGAAGTAGGTGTAGAGAATCTGCGATTCTGTATACTAAGCGAACTAATACCCCTCCATTCAACCAGTAAGCGCAATACCCAGTTATTCCCCTACAGGGTTTTGCAAGGATGTGCCAGATAGTTTACTCTGTCATTTGGGATTTGTATGGTGCATCCGTTGCGGTTTTCCTTGTAATTTTGCCAGTCTATACAACTGCTAGTGACCTTCCATCATTCCCAAGAAAACCGCTTACGTTTTATAAAGTTATGGGTGCCTGGATAACCCAGGAAGGGTAAAACTTGTAGTCAGCGAAATAGCAAGTTTCAGTCTTCATGGGTCAAGTCAAACATGCCAAATAGAAACTGCTTTTGTGTTCATCCTGCCTACAGCTAAGTCTAAAAGAAGCCAGCGGCATTATTGCAGAAAATACCAACCTAGGGACAAGGCTATGGTCAGAAACGGCTGGGGTAAAAATCTGTGGGGAATTGGTGTAGTAATAGAAAAGTTGGAAAATTACTTTAAGAAGTGCAAGTTAGTCCAGAAATCTGGAGACATAAATCAATTAAGATCAAGACGTCATATATATGTCTTCTCCAGATTTCTAGAGCAACTTACACTTCGTAAAGTACTCATCTAATTAAGTGCAGTAGGAATATATATATATATATATATATATATATCAGATTGTCTTTTCAGAACCGGGAAGACAACTGTGACCATTCCAGACTAAGAATGCAGTCCGACAAGATGGATGAAAAAATCAAGCAACCATAGTTAACTGATTCTACGACACGAAGTTTGAAGTCTGAGTTCTAACAGATTTTCGATAACATCACTTAGTCAGATTTTGACATTCTAGTTTCTCACTGCAGTCGTTGAGCAGCGAAACCTTTGTAGTTAGGGATTTGTGAACACCTGTTCTTATTGTTGAGTCAAACGCTGAGATCAAGATCAAGAATTCCTCATTTGGACTTCCTATGAGGTTAACACTCTTACTTATCGCTCTTTGTGATACGATGCGCAATACGCTTATGGGGTTATTCCACAGTCTTGACAGGTTGCTTTAGTATTCGAAACCCGGTGTACCAAAGATCTCTAACTTTCATGTATGAAACAAAACCCAAGACGAAAACCATTGAAAATCAGCCCTATCTTTTCCTCAATCCACCTATCCATTGCATAACGAATCCATATAGTCCATATTAACGGGTGATTTGTTATATCGGTACGGCAGTGTGTATTCTCTTGATCAGTGCTCATCACTTGTGACAGACTTCCAAATAGGGGCCATGGTCCCTAGGGTCAATATGGCTTTCCTTGATACGTTATCTAATGGGATACAGGAATGGTTCAATTTATTCTTTCCAGAGCCGTATCCACAAGCCAACAACAGCTCTAAAGAAATGTTTTTCACCCTACCCTTTCCAGTAAGCAAGGCTTACGCATTCCTCCTATGCCAACAATAATTGTGGAGGACGTAAACCCAGCACTGCTAACAGAAGATCTGGTTCAAAATGGTTCGCTTGTTTTACCATGTACTTATCTTTACCACGGTACCGTAATGGAGGTGGTAAGAACCGATTCTTCGGTATTTCCTTCTCTTGGGGTTTTCTAGATACTGATGATGACATATGGGTAAATTCTAGATGCGTTGCTTCTTGAAGCATCACATTTTGGGCTGAACGCGTAGCATTTGACTTTCCCAAGGTCTACTGCAGAGTCCCAAGGCCTACTTCAGAGTTCTGTTGGGATTGGATGGTGCAGGATTCCGCGTCACCACTATCCTTCAACAAATCTCACAGAGTATCTACACCTTGCCCACGGGCCTTATTAGTATTCAGAATTTCATGCTGAGTATCATCATTGACGCAAGATTACCCCCACGCCTGTTGAAGAATGCTCTTTTGTACTGTTTTGTGTGCTTTCGTAGAAATGATGGTATAATGCAGGAGTTTACGGTGTTGCTGTCTTCCGACTACGTTACAATTACCATTTGATCGACAAGCAAAAGCTCAGATGTCTAGATTTAAAATGGTTGAAACACAGTTTATGATGTCTCAAGATTATAAACCTGTCCTCAAGGTTTATGGCTTCAAACTGTCGGTACATAAAGTCATCCTCTGAGCATGCGGTCTGTTCTTGATCGGTTAGGGTATTGACTCGATGGTTTGCGAATTTCAGGGTTGTGGCCACATTTTCCTGTCTGCAGTCGCTATTGGTTATTAAATCAAAGTAGCTAGTGACTATAGCTATCTGCTTTTGCAGGAACTCAACTGATTCATAGAATTTGGGCTCTGAGTGCCGCAAGATATCACGTGTCAACTCTGACTACTTCAGATGTAGATGCCGAGATAGACATGTAGCAATACGTTTGAGGTTGCTTGTGCACTTCAAATCAGAGGTTATCAATATATGAGATAATACAGCTTCAAAATTTACCATTTTGGTTCTAAGCCTGTTTACACCTAAGAGCTGGGACAGCGCTTTTTCAAAGGGGTTGCACACACATTTGAACAGATATTAACTGTCATATATATATATATATATATATATATATATATATATATATATATATATATATGCCATTGCAAATCACATACATATTTGAGTCTAACTGGCATTAAGCATAGTGGATGAAAATACATGAGTTTTGACATCAATCATAATCTAAGCAACTTAAGTGTAAGGACTTTGATGACTCCCTTCTCTCCAGATTTCAGGGGCGATGAGTATTTCGAACAGCTATGTGAAAGGAGATTCTGCCTTGAACACAAGTATCTACTAACACTGTCTTATGGTTTATACAAAGCTTTGTTGGTCATATGTCGTAAGAGATTTCGTATGCGTGAAAAAATGGAGATGCACTCAGGAACTTTGTGCATATTAGTGCAGTAGGCAATGAGCCACCTTTGTGTGTGGACCAGTTTAGTGATACTACGCGGATGTTCAAACCTCGCTAGCTGGAGCGGGGCTCGAAGCCGTGGTTCAATGGTGTAAAGTCATCTCCCTGATCTACTGAACAAGAGCTTCATCCGTTGAAAAGAATATCTGTAGAGAAAAAAAAAGCAGTGTTTTACTATTTGCACTATCCTATTTGTAAATTTATACAGGATACCGCATCAACTAGATTCAGAGAAGTGCAACCCTGTTGGTTACACCAAATGCCAACTTATTGCAAAAACTCTGAATAGACAGAATTGACACGAAATTTTACACTGCTCTAATAGCTTCGACAGATCTGGAGGAATTACCTGACCCATGACTCCATACGAATAATCACAGCAGTTAGAGCTGTGTATCTGATTAAGGATCTCCCTACTCTGTACAACACTTATATACCACCATTGGTAACGTTTAGACTGAAGTGTGACATTAAAATAAGGTTCCGGAATTTCTACGTCACCACTCAAATCCTGACGTGAAATAGGAATTTCCCAAGGTTGTTAAGAAAAATCCTTTTTCCTATAAATAACAACAATAATTTGATAACTTTTTGCCGACCGACTTCACATGTCATACATGTCCTTTAAATAGAAGTAAACCCCAGAGTACAGTTTTTAATATACTCAGGATTTCCTTTCAGTTCTTCTTGTGTGATTCTGTTCTCAGTTGTTCATCATTATCAGAGATGAAAGCAATCGACTTGTGTTCTGATAAGAATCCACAACTTACTCGGTAAGACCGTTGAAGCAATTTTAGTGTCATCAAGGTTTTTTCGCATTTAAGTTGTCAAACAGAGATCAGCTTTACGAAGATGAAGTTGTTTTTATAAAAATCGCACAAAACTATGTGCACATTAGTGCAGTGGGTGGTGAGTCGCAACTGTTGTGTGAGGCGGTTAATGATACTACCTGGCTGCCAAAAAACCTCGGTAGGTGGAGCGAAGTTAGAACCCACGAGCAATCGGTCGAAGGTCATAACCCTAAACTAGTAGGCCACAGGCTGATAAAGCTATTCTTGCAGACATTAGTTTGGGTTCCGATGCAGTCTTTGATATCATAACTAAAATCATCATCATAACAACTTCGTTTTGTTGGCTTGACACACTTTTTCATAAACTAACACAGGAGATACTTAAGTCATTCATATCTACGTTAGTCTTTCAAATTATCAATCGTAAAATTGTTGGTCAGCATAAACACAGATACGGAACCGAATACGCGGATGCAGAACAGAAAACAGACGTAAGCCGTTGTCTTGTCACTGGTTTATATTGAGCATCTTACTACTAACATTATCAGACAAATTGTACTTAGGTTAGAAGGAAGACGAAATGACTTCGCAAGTCAATATAGTTTGTTCTTATCAGTACGTGTGAAATAAAACGTGGTAAAATTGTTAGGTCGAAACAAATTCAGTTACATAATTGATGGGACACAATTTAACTAAATAATATACGTGGTTCCAGACAGCTAGTATGTCCAAAACACAATTGCTATCAAAATGTTTTCAAAAAAATGAAGATTAAAATATTGAATACATGATGAGGTATGGCAGGGTGAGAGAGAGAGAGAAAGGAACAAAAGGTACAAATATCGTCTTTTAGTTACGATACACGTGGAGTGTTTTCTGTCAAAGCACGAGCAGGAAGGAGTAAGGCAGAATATCTCAGGTTCTAAAAGGACAAAACAGAAGATGAATGATTGGAGATAACTGCAGAGAAAATATTTACTTGAAGCATACTCTAGAATTCACTTATTAACAAGTACTACCAACGTATATTAGTGACTTTTCTTGGTAGTTTTGGAAAACAAGATATGAGGATACAAATTATTCTAGTTTTGGTACAGACTGACGAGTAATCATATCATACTACTGGAAACTTTCTAGTTCAAATCTAACATGTTAGGGGAAAATGTAAATAGACAAACCCTGTTACTAAATATATAAGGCGCTTATTCAATGAACAGACAATAATTCGGTTTGCCACCCGATGTTCTTAGGGATGATGTAGGAAATATCTGACCGGAGCAACGAAGTTAATAAGTAGCATATGGGAATCATAGTTAGTGCCATTAGACCGTTATACTTCACTCATCATTCCAGTCCACAAGAAAGGAGACATGTGACGACCATCGGGAAATCAGTTTAACTAATATCGTATCCAAGATCCAAGGGTCCATAGTTATCCGACGCCTTATTGGAGCTTAAGAAAACTAGGAAGGTTTCGGACCTAGACGAAAGAGCATCCATCAGATTCTCAGCCTTCAAGCACAGCCACATTTACCGACGGCCGACGCTTGCCATATTTCTCGACCTAAAGGCAGTGTTTGACTCTGTTGGCTATGAGGTTGTGTGGCAATGTTTGATTATGAAAGGAGTACCGAGCAAGTATGTAACGCACCCTACTCAAACTCATGCAATCGTGTTAGGGCTTATGTAGAGCTGTCTTTACAATTGACGACAACTAGTGCTGTTCACCAAGGATTCCATTCTGTCACCCTTCTCATTTAATTTCTTCGTAGATATACTAGTTTACATAAACTTAGGTACGTCTGGTTTCATAGGGATTGATTTTCTCTCTGGAGGTGATCTAACTGAATCGGAGTACTCAGACGTTTTAGTCCTACTAGGTAAAAATGCTCATAAAATGTGGAGTCTACTCAACGCCTTCAGTTGAAATCCGAGTATGTTTGGCATGTACTTCACACCTAACAAATGTAAGATGATGCTCCAGGACTTACTAATCTGCAACTACTCCCAGTGTATTGATAAGGAGCGAAGTAGTGGGATATGTTAACCATTTCACTTCACTGACGAAATTTTAGCTCGGATACATAAGGCCCGTTTGACATTTGCCAACTTGCGTCACCTGTAGTGCCGACTAGCACGATACCCAACTATCTGTCAAAGGATGAGTATACTGCCCTGCAGTTCGTTCTATTCTGTTATGCGACCGTGAGACATGACCGTTAAAAGTAGATATGAAGAGACTACAGGTTTCTCACCATAGTGACATTGCTCACCATTTGAGGAACACAGAGGTTAAGCAAACAGTACTAGACAGGAAGGAAAGTCCGTCAATAAGGTTGTGAATCATTAGTGACCAAGGTAGCTTGGACTTGTGCTCCATATACCTAGCCACTACTTACTTCAACACATAGTGTTAACAGAAGCAGGACTAGGTTGAAAGAAGGTCACAGGCGACCAGACAAAGACGTGGCACCAGTTCATGAAGTCTCCAAGTCTTGATCTTAGCCATGTGGAGGGATATTGACTGCTTGGCTGGGGTCCTCGAAACGATAGGAACTAGTAGTTGAGGACATTTGATGAAATGGTTGAAATGGTCGGTCATAGTGGGGCAGATGTATTCACTTTTTGATGTTTTCTGAAGACTGAATATTTTGACCAAGCTTTATTCTAAAATTCCTTTTCCAATACACTTTTGTCTACTTTGGTATTAGTCTTTTTCTGTCTACTTGTTCTTTGTACGCTACTGTGAAGCGTGGTAACTTGAAGCGACGCACTTCTGTGTGAAGTTCTACGTTCGTTTTGTCTGTTTCCCTCTTTGTCTCTCTCTCTCTCTCCCTCCTTCCTCCTGTCTATATTGTTTAGCAGATTGATCGAAATATAGGAATTTTGCTACATTTAGAATGACAGTTAAACTTGATAACAGTCAGCGGAGTTCTCGATGATTATCCATAGTAGTCAATGTCACATTTCACTACTCCATCAAATTACTTACGTAGGTGGAAACATTTTGCATATGGGAAGCTGACAAGTTGGTGTCTCATGAGGAGTTTTTCTGATTGATTAAAGTATAAAAGTGACAGTTGTCCGTTCAAATGAAGACGCTTGCAAAATACAATGTTACAAACAAACGAAACGGAAAATGTGGAAATGTTTATGACTTGACAATGCAAAATATTTTTGTGCAATTACTCGCACGGATGACTAGTTTAATTTTGAGAATGCAGGGGTTTAAGTGAGCTGATTGTTGACATGATGACAGATGTGCTTCACGTAATGAAGTACACTTAGCAATATACAGCCAGTGAGTAGCGTTACCACCACCTTAAGTACAGTTGTTTTCTGAAAGGAAAAAAACTTACTGATTTACGAACAGATCGTAGAAAACCAGCATTTGATGTGATTGTGAGTGCCTCTAGTTCATTACCAACTTCCATGATACGCTAAATAAATGTCAACAGAAAATAGTTCCAAGTTGATGACTAACATGATATTAGGGACAATGCAAGTGAGCAAATTAATAAAAGTTTACATACTAGGGTGTGATCTACACATTTGTGAACGCCTATGATATTATCTGGTGGCTACTAAAACCAGGGGCAAACAGATGGTGACATAAATCACTACACAAAAAATGTAACACATAGGCTTGTATATCAACACCAGTAGCATTACACCGCATACTACCCAATTCTTTCTCGATTAGCCCTTAATAAATATTTACAACGTAAACAGGGGGTCATCAAAAGAGAAGTGTGATTAATACTGTTCTCTTCATGGATCAAATTTTCCTTCTTAAATATAAACAGAAAGCTGTCTATGCTCTGGATTTTAAAAAAGCAGGTTACGGATTTTGAAAGACATCTGTGCCTACTAAGGTTTGGGAAGCTAGGTAGTATTATCAGCCCTCACACCATAGGTGCGGTTTCTTGCCGACTGCACAAACGTGTACGTGGTTTCTAAGTTGCATAAACTGTGTTCAAGTGAACCTATTCAACCTCGTCCTTCAATTAACACCTGGTGAAAAAAATAACGGTTACCATCGATTTCATTAACCTCGCCTGGTTAACTAGTTTACTAGTTACTAGCCGGTCCTAAGCCCGGGTAAAGAGGGAAGGTTGGGCATAGGGCTAGCAACCCTACCCCGTAAAACAAATCTAACCGCTAAAGAAACTTCAAAGCACAAACAAAATATAAAAAATGAAAACAAACCTATTCCCCGCTGGAATCGGAGAGACGAAATGACGCCAGTTGGTGAAAGCCTTCGGGAAGCCAATTGGCCGATGTGTCTTCTCTCGATGAAAGCGAAAGTAAACGTGGGGACATGGAATGTCCGCACGATGTTTGAACCCAGTAAGGCAGCCCAGATTGCAAGGGAGATGAGAAGGTATAACATCGAAGTGCTTGGGATTTGCGAAAGCAGATGGAATGGGAGTGGACTCTCCAAACTGTCAACTGGAGAATCAATAATCTACTCCGGTCACCCAGACGCCAACCACGAGCACACTGAGGGAGTGGCTATCATGATGTCCTCAAGAGCATCGAAGGCTCTCATGCAGTGGGAACCAATCTCCTCCAGGATCATGACAGCAAGATTCAACTCAAAAGGAAGGAAGGTCACAATCATACAATGTTATGTACCTACAAATAATGCAGAGCAAGAGAAAAAGGAGGATTTCTACAGACAACTTCAATCAACACTGGACAAGACGTCAGTTGGCGATATCAAAATTCTGATGGGCGACATGAATGCCAAACTGGGAGGGGACAACACGGGAAGAGAACTAACCATGGGTCGAGAGGCGCTAGGTGAAATGAATGAGAATGGAGAATTGTTTGCAGAATTCTGTGCATTCAACGATTTGGTGATTGGAGGCAGTGTGTTCAGGCACAAAGATATCCACAAAGCGACATGGATTTCACCAGATGGACACACTAAAAATCAAATCGACTTTATCTCAATCTCAAGAAAATGGAGATGCAGTCTACTTAACACAAGGTCAAGAAGAGGAGCAGATGTAGGTTCAGACCACTATCTAGTGCAAGGAACCTTCGAAATCAAGTTAAAAGCCTTCAAGGAAGCTGGTGATAGACCTCAACTCAAGTACAACACTCGGAAACTGAAGGAGGAAACTACAAAGGAGATCTTCACGGCAGCCATCAAGACAAAATGGGAGACATCGAGCAACATCCCTGAAGAAACCTGTGTGTAAGAACACTGGAAGTCTTTGAAAGCTATGTGGAAAGAAACCTGCACAACAGTATTAAGAAGGAAGAAGAAAGAAGACAAGGAATGGATCTCGACGGATACCTGGAAGCTGATAGAGGAGAGGAGGATGGTGAAGCAGAAGATAAACCAGTGCAAGGATGCTCAACGACAAGAGGAACTGAGCACAATGTATAAAACACTGGACAAAGAAGTGAAGAAGAGTGCACGCAACGACAAAAGACACTTCTACGAAACACTGGTAAGTGAAGCAGAACAGGCTGCAGGTAAGAGAGACCTGACGATATTGTATCAAATAACCAGGTTGCTATCAGGGAAGAGACCAACACAGATGAAACCAATAAAAGATGAAGAAGGAAATTTAATTACAAAAGAAGAGAAACAGAGGAAACGATGGGCCGACCACTTCAAGAAGCTCTTGAATCGACCACCACCTGCACTTCGTCCAGAAATACCACCTGCAGCCGCTGAACTACAAGTGAACATTAATCCCCCAACGAAAATGGAAGTCCTGAACGCCATAAAGCTACTGAAATGCGGGAAAGCAGCAGGACCAGATAGAATCCCGGCAGAAGCACTGAGAGCAGACGCACGGACAACAGCGTAAATGCTCACACCACACCACTATTGCAGAAGGTCTGGAGGGAAGGGAAGGTACCTGCCAATTGATTGGAAGAAGGGCTACCTTGTCAAACTCCCGAAGAAGGGAGACCTCAGTGTTTGCAAGGACTGGCGTGGAATCACACTCCTGTCCACCCAAGGCAAGCGAAATATTAAGCCGCATCATCCTGGAGAGGTTAAAAGATGCACTGAATTCAAAACTGCGACCGGAACAGGCAGGCTTCAGGAAGTACAAATCATGTGCAGACCAAATTGCAACGCTTCGCATCATCATAGAACAGAGCATAGAATGGCAATCAGCTCTCTGCCTCAACTTCATCGACTTTGAGAAGGCCTTTGACAGCGTCGACCGAGAAGTAATTTGGAAACTGCTTCAATACTACGGAGTACCGCAAACCTTTATCCGCCTCATTCAACAACTATATGAAGATGCCACATGCCAAGTAATCCACAATGGGAAGCTCAGTGATGCCTTTGAAGTGAAGACAGGAGTGAAACAAGGTTGCCTACTATCCCCCATGATATTCTTGATTGTGGTGGACTGGATCATGCAGCAAACAGTAGGCAGCGAGAAGAGGGGGATACACTGGACGACGGAAAAGAACCTAGAAGACTTGGATTTCGCCGATGACTTGTGCCTGATGTCACATAAACTTGAAGATCTGCAGGCAAAAACTAACAAGTTGATAGAAGAGGCAGAGAAGACGGGACTTCAGGTGAATATAGAGAAGACAGAAGTGATGAAGATACCGCACCACCACCATCAACAACAACAACAACAAACTCCAATCACTGTCAACGGGAGAAACTTTTCCACTCTCTTTTCAGACACTTTAGTGTCATTCCTTTTCTATTCACTTCCGCTTTCCATACTGCTGTGAAGTGTGACAGCTTGAACTGACACATTTATTCCAGGTTATAAGTTGGTTTGTTTGTCTTTCTGTCTCACACCGACCTATATGAAGAAAGTGAGTTGTATATAATCGATTGCAATCTACCCTCTAGAGTAGGACAGTGGAGCTGTGGCTCATTGGTTAGGGCAGTTGACTTTTAACCAGTGGGTCACGCGTTTCGATGCCCTCTGCACCTATCGAGGTTTGGGCAACCAGGTAGTATAAACCCATTAGATAACCCACAATAGGTGTGATTTAATGCTTGCTGCACGAGTGTGTATCTATCTGTTTGTTGAGTGCATTTCGATTTTCGGGACTTGAACTGTTAACGATATCTAGTCCCTGAAAAAACACACAATGGGTTTATATTTTCACTGTAAAATTCAAACCTTATTTTTGCGTTTTTTTCGCTGAATGCGATGTTACTCATTTTTACCGCAGTTTAAAATACTAAACACTGAGGGGTTCACTTTACACCTTAAAGATGCTATTTTGTTTTCCCAGGTCAAGGCCCTTGTAAAGGTATATAAACGACTGAACTCCCAGCCATAAGCAAACCATTCGGTTTGAGTAAATACACTTTTCATCCCACTGTGTTCCTCTTCTGGCGTCGGCTGAGAAGTCAGTGTCCTATGTTTAATTGTATCGCGTCGGAGCATTATATCGTTCATATACATATTGTATATCGCAACAGTGATGACGGGGTTGTTTAGAAATGGATTCTGTAAAATTCGATAATTTTTTGGTCAGTAAATGAAGATTATCGAGTTGTTCAAGAACGAAAAACTTACTTCCACTGAGCCGTCAAACGCAAATCCCAGCATAACTGCTCCATCTGCTGATGGTATAGCGAACAACATAACGAAATCTCATTATGACTCAGATGTAAATGTGACTTTTGATACGTGGCTTAGACGATATGAGAGACATTTAAAGTACGATTTTGCTGGGCAGGATGATGCTTGGAAGGTACGCTTGTTACTTTAAAACTCGGTCCAGCAGAATCAGACCAATAATGCAGTGATTTTGCCACAAAACCCACATCAACGTACATTCAACGTCACCGTTCAAACTCTGAAACAACAATTTCGAGATCACTATTCCTTTTTCAAAGGAAGATATCACTCTCTCAAAATGCTGATGAACCAAAACGATTCCTTCGTTGCATATGTCAGCATGGTCAACTGTGAATCTAAACGGTTAAAACTAAAATCTGAAACGGATCAGTTTAAATTCTTTATATTAAAATGCAGTCTGAATCGCTGACATCAGAATGCGATTACTGAACCATTTAGATCATGATCGGAACGACATACTTGCGGAGTATTATTATTATTTTTCCCTTGGGATCCTAGTGGGACATAGGGCTTCAGTAGCACGCATCCACTGCACTCTGTTCTGTGCAGTTTTTTGAACCTCGCTCCACGAGTGTCCACAAGTTTTCACTTCTTCCTCACACCATCTCCTCCATGTCACCACCCTCGGACGCCCAACTCGTCGTTTCCCATTTGAATTCCACTCGACGGTCTGTCTTGGTGCGTGATGTCCCAGTCAGTCTTCTTAGTGTATCCCCAATCAATCTCCACTCTCTTCTTCTATATATTTGTTAGGTAATAGGTTCTTGGTTGGTTCATTCCCAAACTTCCTTGTTGCTGATTCTTTCTGGCTATCTGATGTGACTTTCAGTACCAAGCGTAAACTGCAGCCGCTGAGAAATGTCTGTAGTTTGTTGGAAATGCTTTCCGTGACGCGCCAATTTTCTGGACCATACAGCAGCACAGACTTGACATCGGTGCTGAAAACCCGGATCTTGTTGTTTATGCTGAGTACAGTAGATCTCCACACTGGTTTCAGATTCATAAAGGTCTGTCTTGCTTTTCCGATCCTGGCTTTGACATCCTCATCTGTGCCGCCTGTAGTTGAAACGATGCTGCTTAGGTAGGTGAAAGAGACAACTTCCTTTAGATTTCTCCGCTGATGGTGATTGCTGCTTGTTGTTGTTTTTGTTGTTGGTAGGGTATCTTCACCACCTCTGTCTTCTCTACGTTCACCTGAAGTCCCGTCTTCGCTGCCCTGCCTCTTCTGCTAACATGTTAGTTTTCGCCTGTAGATCCTTCAGCTTGTGCGACGTAAGATCATTAGACATAAATCAGCATCGTCGAAATCCAAATCTTCTAGGGTATTTTCATCGGTCAGACAGTGTATACTCCTCTTCTCGCTCCTCACGGTTTGTTGTATGATCCAGTCCAGTCGACCACAATCAGGAAGATCATTGGTGATAGTAGACAGCCTTGTCTTATTCCTCTCTTCACTTTACTCCAAAGGCATCACTGAGCTATCCATTGTGAATTACTTGGCATGTAGCGTCGTCATCTAACTGTTGAATGAGGTCAATAAAGCTTTGGGGCACTAAAACCGTAGTGTTGAAGCAACTGCCAAATTACTTGTCGGTCGACACCTCGATCAGAAGCCTTTTCAAAGTCGATGAAGTTGAAGTGGAGAGTTGACTACCATTCTATGCTCTGTTCATTGATAATGATGCGTAGCGTAGCGTTGCTATTTGGTCCGCGCATGATTTGTTCTTAGTGAAGCCAGCCAGCCAGCCTGTTCCGGTGGTAGTTTTGAATCCAGTGCATCTTTTAGTCTCTCCAAGATGATGCAGCTTAATACTTCGCTTGCCTTGGGTGGACAGGAGCGTGATTCCACGCCAGTCCTTGCAAACACTGAGGTCTCCCTTCTTCGGGAGTTTGACAAGGTAGCCCTTCTTCCAATCAATTGGCAGGTACCTTCCCTTCCCTCCAGACCTTCTGCAATAGTGGTGTGGTGTGAGCATTTACGCTGTTGTCCGTGCGTCTGCTCTCAGTGCTTCTGCCGGGATTCTATCTGGTCCTGCTGCTTTCCCGCATTTCAGTAGCTTTATGGTGCTCAGGACTTTTGCTTTTGTTGGAGGGTTTGTGTTCACTTGTAGTTCTGTGGCTTGGCTGCAGGTGGTGGTCGATTCAAGAGCTTTTTGAAGTGGTCAGCCCACCGTTTCCTTTGTTTCTCTTCTTTGCTAATTATATTTCCTTCATCATCTTTTATTGGCTTCGTCTGCGTTGATCTCTTCCCAGATCGATAGTAACCTGGTTATTTGATACAATGTTGTCAGGTCTCTCTCCTACCAGTCGGCAGCCTGTTCTGCTTCACTTGCCAGTATGTCGTGGAAGTGTCTTTTGTCTTTGCGAGCACTCTTCTTCACTTCTTTGTCCACTGTAGTGTTTTATACATTGTACTCACTTCCCCTTCTCGTCGTTCATCCTTGCACTGGTTCATCTTCTGCTTCACCATCTTCCTCTCCTCTATCAGCTTCCATGTGTCCATCGAGATCCATTCCTTTTCTTCTTTCTTATCCCTTCCTAACACGGTTATGCAGGTTTCTTTCCACATAGCTTTCAAAGAGTTCCTGTGTGCTTCCACGTCCGACCCTTCAGGGATGTTGCTCGATACCTCCAATTTTGTCTTGATGGCTACCATGAAGATTTTCTTTGTAGTTTCGTCCTTCAGTTTCTGGGTGTTGAACTTGAACTGTGATCTATCACCAACTTCCTTTAAGGCTTTCAACTTCATTTTGAAAGTTTCTTGCACTGAACAGTGAGTGATGTGAACCCACATCTGCTCTCCTTCTTGATGTTGTATCCAGTAGGCTGGCTGCTTCTCCACTTTCTTGAGATTGAGATGAAGTCAATCTGATTTTTAATGTTTCCATCTGGTGAAATCCTGTCACCTTGTGAATATCCTTGTGTTTGTACACACTGCCTCAAATCACCAAATCGTTGGATGCGCAGAAATCTGCAAACAGTTCGCCGTTATCATTCATTTCACCACGCTGAGTTCTCTTCCTGGGTTGTCCGCTCCCAGTTTGGCATTCATGTCGACCATTAGAAGTCTGATGTCACCAACTGGAATAGGGTCTTGTCCAGTACTGATTGCAGTTGTCTGTAGAATTCTTCCTTCTTCTGTTCCAGTGAATTATTTGTAGGTGCGTAGCGTAGCATTGTATGGTTGTAACTGTCCCTTTATTTGATATGAAGCTTGCTGTCATGATGCTGATCCTAGAGGAGGAGATTGGTCCCCACTGCATGAGAGCTTTCGATGTTCTTGGAGACATCATGATAGCCACTCCAAAACTCAGTGTGCTCGTGGCTGTCGTCTGGGCGACAATATCGGAGTAGATTATTGACTCTCCAGATAAGAGTTTGGAGAGTCCACTTCCATCCCATCTACTTTGCAGATTCCAAGCACTTCCATGCCATATCTCCTTATCTCTTTCGCAATTTAGGCAGCCTTGGTAGGTTCACACATGGTGCGGACATTCCATGTGCCCATCCCTACATTCGCTTTCACCGAGAGAAGACACATCGGCCAATTGGCTTCCCGAAGGCTTTCACCAACTGGCGTCATTTCGTCTCTCCGATTCCAGCGGGGAATAAGTTTGTTTTAGGTTTTATATTTTGTTTGTGCTTTGAAGTTTCTTTAGCGATTGGATTTGTTTTACGGGGTAGGGTTGCTAGCCCTATGCCCAACCTTCCCTCTTTACTCAGGCTTAGGACCGGCTAGTAACTAGCGAACTAGTTAACCAGGCGAGGTTTCTGCGGAGTATTAACATGTAGTAAATCTTCAGCCTGACACCTCGCTTGCCCAATTTGGAGTCCGGGATAGTTCAGAAGTACATACAGTCCGACAATGTGGTCATCAAGCTAAGAAACCCACCACGGTGACGCAATTTGATAGACGTTAGTTTGTTGAAGGACAAGCGCCAAGAAGCACGAAATCTAAGCAAGGTTTCCCGCGGATTGCTTCCAGCCAAATCTTATCTTCTTTACAATATTATCATCATTATTATAACAAATCAACTGATTCGATTTCTAAAGTAGTTAGTCTCTTTGATAAATTTAAACAGCGTAATGCGAAGACGAAGATTATCTGAAACGTGATTTATCAGTGCTATACATTTCGAACAACCTGATCACACACGTTGAACCTACCTTGGTAGTGCATTGATTTCGATTTTTATACAAAGAGTGATGTGATATAGATTTTGTTTTTTCTCTGCCCTTCTTATTCTGTTTCCCTATTGACTCAAATGTTCCTTTCCGTAAGTTCTCATATAAACAGTTCGACAAGTCGATATTTGATTAGATTGTTCAAAGTGTACAGTGTTAATACATCAGATGTTTCATATAATCTTTGTCTTCTCTTTATGCTCTTTAGATTCTATATCTACACGATTCACTTTCGTAACAAGAAGTACAACATAATGAATGTAGGAAGCTTTTGTCGATTCATGAATAAATGTACTCGAGCTTTTGAGTATATAGGCCTTATAAACGGGCAAAAGTGATATTTGATGTAGAACTCCTATTCAAAAATTCCTAAAAGGGAGACAATACAAATGGCAGTTTAGAACGGTCATAAGGTATTGTTAACTCTTACCTGTGTTAATAAATAGTTACTATTCTTGGATTCTTTTGGTTTACCAAGTGGAGGTATCACTTCGCCAGTGAAATTTAAATCAGGTATTACAACCAGCTGACTAATCAGTTGTATTCCACGTTTCCATTCACCAGGTCCAGATATCAGTGCAAGAATATTTAGAAATGAGCGAACAGCACTTAGACAAACAACATGAACTTTACCTTTAAAAAAGCAAATTAATCTAAACATTGAATAAAAAGGTGGAATAGAAAACGCCATTCCATATTATCAATCGGTCGATGAAAGTAATACACAAAACCCTCGTACAAATTTATGTACAAGACTATGCACCACACACCTATTGTATACTGAACAATAAACATTGTAGTTTACTGAAAACTATTTCTCCCTTCAGCTTGAGAAATAAACATATTCCCCAAAGTTGTTATTGTCATTAGAGCCAAATGAGTTGGTAAGTATCTAATAAGGCATTGAAATAAGTATAATGAATTTAGAAATATGCTTCCTGATTAACTAAACTTCATGAAAAAGGCCACATCTTTATTTACTAGACAAAATGTAATGAACATCATTATTATGTTTGATATCCGATAAGGCTATTGTTATGATCCATGATGTATATAACGATACACTGCTCCGACCCTATACGATTAACGAAGAACAATGACTTCTCAGCACGATATTCAGCTGACACCAGAAAAAAATATGATTGAAAGTACATTTACTTCAATCGAATGAATTCCTAGCTGAAAATTCAGTCGTTTATACATTCTTAGATGGCCTTGACCAGGGGAAATAAAATAGCATATTAAAACTGTAAAATGGACCAATCAACGTTTAGTATCAAGAACCGTGGTAGAAATAAGTAACACTGGATCAAGCATAAAGGGTGCGAAAATAAGGTTTAGAATTTACAATGATTATGTATACATAAGTTACTTTTTCTAAGGAATTAGGGATCCCTAACAACTATCAATCAAGCACTGAGATTCTACAAGTAACCTCCTTTTACACTGAGTAAATGCAACCGTAAAAATAGTAGTCTCCTGAATGATAGAGTAGATGATTCTTATTTAACTTTGACTGGTCTGCAACCACTCCCAGTTCAATGATAGGGAGTAAAGTGAAATGTGTCAACCACTTCACTTACGTGGAGAGTTGCATCACCTCGATCGGGCTAATTGCTGACAAAATCTGAATTCGAATACATAAGGTCCGTTCGGCATTTACTAACTAGCATTATATGTGGCACCGACATGCGAGATGTCGGATTACCTATGAGAGGACAAGTATACTGCACTGAAGCTCGTTCTGCCTTGTTATATGGCTGTGAGATATGGCCGTTAAAAGTAGAAGACATGAACCAGTTTTAAAGTTTTCGACCAAAGGTTTCTTTACACCATTGATCGTATTCGGTGGAATCACCAGATGAGCAACGTTGAGATCAGGCGAAGGGTACTAGATAAGACAATCAAGTCGATTGACGAGGTTATGAACCTCAGTCGATTAAGGTTGCTTGGACATGTACTGCACATGCCGAGCCATCACCTAAATGGATATGCCATGCTAGGGGAAGTTACATTAGGTTGAGAATGTTTAATGACCAGACCAAGACATGGTCTGACTGTTGGCTTGAGCCGTGTGGGAAGGTGTAGACTGCCGGGTTGGGGTCACCGAGACGAAAGGAATCAGTAGTTGAGGGCATTTGGTGACATGGCTAAAATCTGATCACAATGGCGCAAATGTATTCACTCCTTGACATCTTCTAAAGCTTCAATATTCACACTAACCTTTGTCTTCAGGCTGGTTATTCGCTCACATTACTTTATCTACTTTGATATCATTCCTTTCCTATTTCCCTGATCTTTGTATAATTCTGTGAAGTGTAGCAACTTGAGCCGATGCACATGTGTGCGAGGTTCTACGCTGTAAAATAAACAAAAGGATGGAGTCCGAAGTTACAGACTATAAACAATTAATCTTCTCCATATAAGGGATATTCGACCTTTACACAACGTGATCTAAGTTATCCATAGAAAATAACGAGAAGCAGTCTCAAGGCATATCTAAAGAGGTGTTCACTACTTTCTTTTACTTCTTAATAATAGAAGGAAAGGGAAAACTGCAGCTCAATCGCCACTGATTCTGATTCTGAGCCATGTCCACTAGTATCAACTCAAGCCAGCGAGTTGAAAAATCTCTCGGACATAGTAATTATGAGACATCTACATATGACAAACCCAGGACAACTATCCTTCATCTCATAGTGCCACATTATAAACTAGTCAACTATTCGCTCCATGAGACCAGTCTCAGAGTAAATAAACAGTGAGAGGCATGGGAGCTGGGACAACTTTCGCAACACATGTCCAAGCCACAGAAACCAGTGTTTAAAGATGACCAACATTTAATGAATGATGACCTGCACCACGCCTGAACACACACCGCCTTACCTTAGACTTACTTAAACGGTGTTTACATCGTATATGAGCAATCCTTCGGTTACAATGGTGATGGAAAATATAGAGTCATCAGACATCCTCAGCTCGGAGGTCAGGTTTCACAGATGATCTGAACCAATGAGGTTTAGATGAACTGATTTGATGAAACTGAAAATCAACACGATCTGTTAAGTTGCGCCAGGTATATTTGATAGCTACAACTAGTCTGTTTATTTTCTTCATCCATCGTTATATCATTACAATTTTTAAACTGCATCATCTGTAGTTTCGTTTCGAAGTAATGGTAATCGATAATAGGTTAAGATATAGTAAACGACAGTACAAAATGTCAACTGAAATCTATCAACAAACAATAATGAACAATAATATTACCTCGAAGATACTTATCCATTGGTAGCAAAACAGGAACTTCAGCTTCAGATGCAATTAACCATTTAAATTTCCCCAGTTTCAATGGAGGATAATTCAATAACTGAGTATGTCTTTCAGGAGATTGTAAACAGTCTAAAATTTTAGCAGATATAGCCTCTTTATCATTTATATTCTCTTCTTGATCAGATGAATATGTAGGATTGAATTGGGACAGTTCTGAGACGAATGCAATTAAAGCTGAGATATCTAAATTAACTCGATTTGACTCATCTATACTGAAAATTATGAAGAAAAGAAATGAGTACTAGTGTAAATAAACACAACCATATGCATGCACCTGAACCATTCTGTAAACTGCATATATATATGGTTGTTGCTTAAACAGCGAAAAATCCTAACAGCATCTATTATTCTCTATGAAGTAGGTAAAGTGACATTCTAATATTTCATCGAAATAAATGTGAGTAGAATACTCAGACCACTAAATTATTGCTCAAATCAGAAGTATGAAAAAGCAGATAAGCTAGACAAACAGCCTAGACGACTTAATTACACGAACAGACCAATCCGGTTGACCAAAAAACCAAAAAACGTGAACAAATGCTTCAATAAAACTGAAGTCTTATGCGTCACATATATCTAATAATATCAATGCTTGTAATCACAGTTCATCTGCACATGAAGTATCACACCTTCAGAACAAGCAGTGTTTATCTGTTGATGAGAATGTGTTAGCAGTTGAACCCAATAAACATAGGCTACAAAAACATGGATACTGTCAGTTGCACCAAGGCAGCAGAGAAAACCTCAAAGACGATCGCGACACAATGAAATCCAGTTCCATACTAATTAGGTAACCTGAGTTTATTGGTCACATGCCAAGCAAGAGATAGACAGAGACAATCCACGTAGAATCTCGTATACAAGTCCATCGTTTCAAATTGCCACACTTCATAGTAGTATACAAAGAACAAGTGGATAGAAAAAGACTGACATCAAAGGAGGGAAAGGTGTATGAGAAAATGAACGGTTTGAAAATAAAAGTTAGAGCAAATATTCAAATTTTAGATGTCAGAGTGAATACATCTGCGCCACTGTGATTCATTTTCAGTCATATAACCAAAGATTGTTAACCATTGATTTCTATCGTCTCATACATATTTACGACTGGACTACACAATGACGACACATCGTAATTCATAAAAAAAGAAATAACTGATTGCTTATATTGGAATTGGAATCATATACAATAATCAACTCCACCTAACATGCAATTATTTCACAATCATGAATCGTATGGAACTGAGTGAGGAGTCAATAGAAACCTCTTGAGCTTAGCTATACAGTGGCACTAAAATAAGTCTTAGGTAAAATATCTTTTAAAATAGATAAAGTAATATACTTGATAAGGTTTGTCCGAGATTCCTATTTTCTTTACTAGTAATTGTAGATTCTACCAAATCACCAACATATAACACGGGAAGATATTTACCACAAAACATAACCAAATGAAAGGAAAGTGAAATGCAGAGTTAAAAGAAATTGCATGAATTCAGGAATAGCAACATTTTAACTCATCAGGGAAGATAAAATATCCCTATTAACGACAAATTAGATACAATAATTACCCTACCTACTCTCAGATATTAATCTAAAGACTCATTGCCAATCACATCCAAGTTACATTAGGAATTTTGATGTCAACTTGTAAATCTTGTAAAACTACACTACATCTGTAGTGCAAGCAGTGGTTACCGTGACTCAATGGCGTTTGGAGCGATTGGTCCTGGGTTTGAGTTTTGGTGAAAGCAATACCAGTAAACTAAGAGGCAGGTACATCCACCGGACGAGTCACAAACGGGACGAAATACGCATCTTGAATTCCACAGCTAGCCATTATGCGTCGTTGAAATTATAAAGTCTGTAGAATTATTTTTAAAATAAATATTTTTTGCATTCACACGACATCTGTAGAGACAAAGAGATAGTGTAGGCATAGGATATTCAGCATCTACGACATGTCGATCTATCCATCCACTGACTAGAGAATAATACAGTGAAGGAATACTCTGTTCTTCGATGAATGATCCAGGTAAGTGGATGATACGGGGTTTTTTCTATCACTATAAACATGACAATTTGCATGGACTTCTTCGAAAAATAAACAGCACGTCGAAAAGCATTAGAAATTAACGTTCCTGAACTGTATGGTTGAAATACAGACAGTAAGACAACAAAAACTGAAAGATAAATATTTTCCTAAAACTAACATATTCAGAAAGACATTTCGACTAAAAATTCGCAGTAACGGATACTAAGTGATCAGATAATCTGATTCCAAAACGGAAGAAGACAAATTGAGGATCTGAAGACTTTTTGCCATACAAACGAAGCAAATAGGTAACCAGAACTTCTTATCAAAAAAAGTCATGAGAAATTAAGAAGGGTTTGAAATGTCATCCGAAGAAGTGAATCAAGACATACGGTAATTCCATACTAAAATTGTAACTCGGAGCACTACACTGTGAGCCACACTTTCTGTGACAGCTTTCGATACTACTTGACTGTTCAAACCTGAGTGTGCGAAGCAGACTCGAACCTGCGATCCAATGACTGAAGGACAACCACCTACGGGAATGAGCCATAACCGCAACTTGTCCCGTATTCCAAAGAAATTTTGAAAGTTTTGTAAAAATGTATTCATCACACCATGATCAGTGTACATTCTGCCTTCATAAGGGTCAACGATATAATACGGACAGTAGGCGGAATGAGTTTTGAACTCGGAACTTATTGGTTGAAAGTTAAGTGCTTAAACCAGTAGGTCGCATCTCGTTATATTGCTGTATTCAACCAGCAGGCAGGTAGGCAGCGATGACACTTTCATCTTTTTATTAGTCTTACTTTAAGTAGATGCAAAATGAATGTTTTTCATTCTATGACCAGCCCGACACCTATAGTCTATTTTATCTCGTATATTGATTGAAAAGGTGATGCGAAAAATCAGACGCACATTCGCATGTCTATATGAAAATATCTTGTAGAAATTTCCAACAAGTGATGGCTAATCATGTTTAAAACAATGAAGATTCAAAAAAGAATTGGACAAGAAGATGAACTATACCATTCTGAGGTCATTTATGTATCCATAATTCGCTACTGTTGAAATTACATCCCAATGTACTTGTGGTCATAAATATACAAGGAGTGCATAGAGAGAGAGAGAGAGAGAGGTTAACGGTCGTAATGAGTAAGGGACAATGGAACACATATCCGGGTGGCTGAAAAAGTACTTTCCATCGCCTAGCTCCATTAAATGCTGGGTAACTAACGGCCAGGCTTCTTAAATACAAATAAAATAAATCTTTTAAAACCTATCTACAGATGTTGGGAACGTATCTTTGAGTTTCAATGTGCCATCACATCCAAACCTTCCTTGATAAACTGAGCTTTGAAATCAACGCCAACGTACGTTTATTATTACATTTTTTGCTCCATTCTTTTTTCATTGTCACTCTGGTTTTCAAAGTTTAACTTTTTTATTCGACCGCTTTTCATTTCCTCACCCCTTTAAAATGTCCATGGTCTTTCATAAGCATAGATACCTAAAACGAGTAAATACGTGTTCGATCAGATTCCTACAGGTGTGTTGTAGAAAAACCGTACAAGGTCCTAACGAACATCTTATTGCTTTGTTAAAATTTCAATTTTAATTACTTCTCTGAAAAATCTCCAATCAGATTTTTGAATGAGAGGTTGCAATTATTTTATTTCAAACACATATCTCTGATACTGAAAATTATTTCCACCCCCTCCTTTGGCACTCAATTTCTGTGAAACTAACTATTCGGTCACATTTTGACCGAAGTTTACATAAACACCGAAAACTGTCAGAAGTACAAATAATGATTACGTAAGTGCCAAAGGTAATCTAGAAAAGGTAGAATAAAAGCCAGACGATATTATGGTCAAGGTGAAGCCTAAAACCGTACATATTTCTTCTGCAAAAAACCGTCAAACTTTAGCCAGCAAACAATTAACCAAGACCTCTGTTTTCTTGAGAAGATAAAATAGAATGCTTCGATGCATTTGACAGATATTCTTAAAACCAATGGTTGGATCAGTTAAACCGTCGAAATCAATCAAATCTTTCTGGAGTGAAATTTCAACGTTCCTCTTTTCACTTTTATAAAGTCACTTCCGAACAAACTATCCCACACACATGTCTACAGTCTCTACTAAGCAACTTTCCTCATGGATCACAGTTTACAACTTGGTAGGGAATATACAACTGGAGAATAAACAGCGATCACTTCACTGAATCTCGTTTTGTTGGTGTCATACTGGAAACTGGTATATATATATATATATATATATATATATATATATATATATATATATATATATATATAAACACATTAAGATATAGGTAACACTTTTATACACCTCAGAGTGTTTGACGTGATATAATCCCGACGTTTCAGTTTGAATTTTGATTCTAGCTTCTTCAAGTAAATCGTCTGGACATTAGTCTTGAACTGGTGAATTGCCAGTGCTTTTACTACCCATAACTTTCGAAACCGTGCTCCTTTCGAACTTCTCCTTTTGATTCTGTAAATGACACCGAAAGAGGGTTTCGGTAGAGTTATATGTCCGCAAACCTTTATCAGCCTCATTCAACAACTATATGAAGACGCCACATGCCAAGTAATTCACAATGGGAAGCTCAGTGATGCTTTTGAAGTGAGATGAAGACAGGAGTGAAACAAGGTTGCCTACTATCCTCCATGATATTCCTGATTGTGGTGGACTGGACTGGATTATGCAGCAAACAGTAGGCAGCGAGAAGAGGGTGATAGGCTGGACAGTGGAAAAGAACCCAGAAGACTTGGATTTCGCCGATGACTTGTGTCTGATATCACACAAACTTGAAGATCGACAGGCGAAAACTAACAAGTTGAGAGAAGAGGCAGGGCAGCAAAGACAGGACTTCAAGTGAATATAGAGAAGATGGAGGTGATGCAGATATTCAACTAACAACAACAGCAACAACAAGCTCCAACGGAGAAATCTAAAAGAAATAGCCTCCTTCACCTATTTAGGCAGCACTGTTTCAACTACAGGTGGGACAGACGAGAATGTCAAAGTCAGGATCGGAAAAGCAACACGGGCGCTCATTAACCTGAAACTAGTGTGGAGATCTACTGCACTCAGCATAAACAACAAGATCCGGATTTTCAACACTAAAGTCAAATCAGTGCTTCTGTGTGGTTCAGAAACTTGGCGCGTTACGAAAGGGATCTCCAACAAACTACAGACATTCATCGTTAAAATTCACTTGCATTCTCCACTCGGCAACTATGCACTATAGTGTTCAGAGATAAACTTAAAAACGCGCTCACTTTTTAAACGTATCTCTGAGCCCTGTAGTGTATGGTTGTCGAGGGGAGAATGTAAATGAATCAAAGGTTTAATTCTTGAACAACTGGTCAACTCTGGACATATAACTCTACCAGAATCCTCCTGGAATGTTATATATCAGGTGGTTAGAAGTAGTCGATAGGAAGCCCCATTTCACTTAGACTTTATACGTTTTAGCGTTAGTCACGAAGGCGTGTATACAAACTCCAGGGGACTGATATCTCATAAGAGATCCCAATGCAGTAGTCAGAAAACTTACCACTGATTTCCCCACCAATTACTAATGAATGCATGAAAAGTATCTATTTCATCTCCTTGTGCAGTGTTTGTGATACTATTTAGTGAATTCTTGACCAAAGTTCATACAAATAAACATATTCAAAGTTTAGCAAATGAGAACAACTCATAGAACAACATAAAAGGAATAATTCTTAGTAACTAATCAAAGTAAATACAAGAAACACTCACTGATCATATGAAGTTGGTGAAAATGGCCATACTGCAGTTCTTTGTAGTACTGCATCCATTGGACTAATAACTGTGAATGTAATTGACAAATCCCTACTGCCAAGTAACATTTCATCAACTTCCATACTATCATTTTTATTACAAACACTAGATAGTCTGTTGAGTAACTGAAAAATTTGTTCCACAGCATCTAATTTAAACTGTTTGAAATCACTAGAATTTTCACATTCAATAAAACAGTTCAAAAAGTTCCTAAACTTAAACAACGGTAACATTAAACGCTGAAGAGATACACTATAGTTAGGATATGCTGTAGAAATAGCCGGTAAATCTTTACTAATCCATGGATTAGAGCCAGTAATTAGGATGACTCCAATATCTTCAAGATGTTCGCGTAAATCTTCATCCAGATCATTGATTTCAATAGACGATGAATGTGGTAACCAATGAACAATTACACGAATCCAGTTTTGAGGTTGACCTCGTTGATACCAATGAGAGGTGAAAACCAGTTCCTCTGCTTGACGTCCTAAACAGGCAACATGTTTTGAAGAAGCCTCACCTATAATAAAATAAGTTGGAATAGAACCTTTGTAGTGCAAGTTATTCAGGCGAAGTAACGGATGCCGAAACAAAAAACAGTTTCACTTGACCATTCACTTAACATGCACCTCTGTAACCTCACAATCATCACCGAATAAGCACATGAATTCAATATAAACATGGTTATTTTTTGAGTAAGAGTAACAGAAATATAATTACTAAATAAGGAAAATTGCATGCAACTCAACGATCAAGTATATATCCAGCCACTAAACCATGACATACGAGTTCTGTGTGAAAATTATCTTTACTGTTCAACCTGGAGAAGGACTAGATAGGTGAAGTATTCCCAAACATGGCATAAATTTTCGATACATTTACTTTCCCGTTGATTGCGATGCCGCAACGAACTGGTACGTTTCTGTTAGTTGGCATATTGGAGATCGAATCAAAATGCACTTAGCAACCTTGTGCACGATCTTGCAGTAGGCAATGAACCACACTAATTGTATGAGGGATACTGATAGTACCTAGTTGTCTAAACCTTGGTAGGTGGAGGAGGGTTCGGACCTGTGACACACTGGTTGAAATTCATCTCCCTAAAGCAATGACCCACACCTCCAGTTGGCATATGGGCTCCGATGCGGATGCCAAGATACTGACTGAAGATAAATCATGATATAATTTGGTTGGCTAGCGCTGGAATTTAGGATGCGCGCTTCTCTATGATGCAAATGCATCCAGCTGACGGATCCCAAGCAGAACGAAGTGTGTTGTCTGGATCCCACTTACTAAGCACAATCAATCAAATTACATGATGTGATTGTTAAGCATCCAGCATCGACACAATTGCGCCAAACCATTACTACCAAGTACGCTGATGCAGTTTAAAATTAACACTACACTTTTACTAACTAAAAAGCAGGGTTTATGTCGAAATTCACAAGTAGTGTAAGCACGGTAAATAAAATCGAGGAAAGGTTGGGATCGGTTTAGTGATCCACTGACAGAGGATTTTAGGCTAAATTTGATTGAGATTAACCTTGAAATTCAGCAAATAAGGGCTTTCCGGTGTTTTTGTTTCCTTTCTTCTCACACTTTTAGTCTCTACTCATTCTATCAACCTAATTTGTTCTTGTATGCATTAAATACGCATAACTCATTCATTGTCTCCTTATTTTTATCACTTATGCTGTCACAACTATAATTCCTACAATTAGTTCATCTCAGGCTACTTCAGACAACAGAACCACATCATTAACTGATGTCAGTCCCAGAGTCGGGAAAACTGTGACTCTCTACTGTTAAGCGGTCTGCTTCGATATTAATAATATAAGTCAGCATCAACGTGAGAGCTGATATTACTACGCTGCCACACCTCGCATCAGCACACCAAGGTAGAAGGCACCAAGATGAAGAATAGACAAATAAGAATTAGGCCGTCTGACGTGGTAGAAAGTCGTGAAAAGAAAACAAGAAGGGATAAAACAATAAGGAAATTCGATATGACGAGAAAGATGATGATAATAGGTGGATGCATCTGAGACAATGAGGTCGACCCCGTCATATCACCTGGAGTCTTCAATGGCTGAATTTGGTTGCCATGTGGACATCAGTCACGAACTTTACATGCCCTCCCCCAACGGATCATACCAATATTCACAGATCTTGTGAACTGGTGTCACCTTTAATTTTTTTCCAGCCCAAACCTCCAGCTAACGCTGCACGACTGACAGCTCCTAACTTGAAGTGGAGGTCGGTTTTTCGTTACAATGACGAGTTACGCCAGTGGAACGTTTGTTTCCTTGAGGTTCCACCATACGAGAAAGGTCTACTGAATAGTGATAAAACAAAAAGCGGTTGCCGTCATAGTGTAAATAGTTACGTTATAGTGGGGGTCACAGGACGAAGTCATAATACTGGCTGGATGAGGTGTGACAGCAGTAAGGAGTTTTTCATGAGTAACCAGAAGCACCTTGTTGATGCTACCTTCTTTATACGGAGAGTTAGAAAATATCAGCCCTAAAAATAGTGCAATCCCGTTTCACAATTGCGGTGCCAGCAGTATGGGTTCAGAGATGAATTTGGAAACAAAAATTAAAATCTGAAACTGGCAAAGTCGTATGTGACCAGTATCAAGCAGATATCCTTTGGGTTCTGAGCTTGCGCACCAATAATACTAACCCTTCTCCCAGGTACCTCAAGGAGTAACCTTCCACGGCATGGGATGCCAAGAAGTCACAACCACCTTCACAATTGTCAGCACTCATATTATTATCATGCAAGGTTTTCGGCTGAAAACTGGGTTTTCCAACTTGTCCCAGTTTTACTTTCTCGCGATTTGTTTCTAGTTGCAAGGCAAAAAATGTTGAACTTTCCCACGGCAAAAGCTTTCGTACATCGGTTGGTGAGATCAAATGAATTAGACTGCTCATGTGCCAAATGTTTTGATAGACAGTTTTTTGTTTATCTTCGGTAAGATAGAGTTCAGTAACCACCTGCTATCTACAAAGATGGTAAGGTTATCTTTTTCAATGGCTGATCGCCTAGTGTATGAACATGCAAATGGTCCTAAAGTGTTGAATTTCAGCGAATTAGAAACAAGTGAGCTCTAGTCAAGGTTTTCTAGAGTCGATAGGGTTATTGAAATAAACTCTGACCACGTTATTTCTCCAACGGCGAAGTGAATTCCTCCAATTTTATTTGTCGGGAGGATTCACAATAATATCTGGTTTTCTAAATTTGGGTAGGGGGAACAAGGTTGGAGTGCACCACTTACTAACTAGAAGTCAAGTGCTTAGACCATTTCCAGCAAATATATATTCACAAGTTGACAATACTTGAACATTTATGCATAATCGCCCCAACTTACTCCATTTGTTATCCTAACGAACATGAACTGTACCATGACAAAACTAGTGACTGGATTCAAAGAAGTGACTGATATTATCATAAGTTATAGGTCATAGTTATATACCAGGATACACGACACTGACAGGCAGTATGCTTGTTGCCTGATAGATATTCAAGTACTTTACCGATGCCACGAATAATGTGCAGTAGTGTATATCAATCATAAGTAGATTTAGTTGATGGCCAGTTTGTCAAATCAAGTCGAAACCGAATTCCATTCAGCAACCATGTACACATTCATGCAGCAGGCAATCAGTCACACCTATTGCGTGAGAGTAATGGACACTAACTGGCTGTCAATATCTCAGTAGGTGGAGCTAGGTTCTAACTCGTGACCCATCAGCTGGAAGCCGAGTGCCTAAACCAATGAGTCATAGTTCCACTCATTAGTAATAGTGGCATAGGACAAGATAACTGGACAATAAATACCACACGATAAAATCAAGTGTTCACGAGTCGGAGCACTGATAAAATTTGACATGGTCATAGGTCTCAACAACTTAATGGCTGCTAAACCAGCCGATGAGTGAACAATATTTTTCCAATACAAGTTTGTAGTTAGTAGATAGGGGAAATGAGAAGAAAACCAACCTCTCCAAGCATTATTCAAACGCGATGAATCCCGTATCACAACTTTAATCCATAAAGCAGGAGCCCATAAACAAGCTTCAGCTGCATTACCGTTGCAAGTTCTGAATCTTGACATTCCATCAACACCTTCGTCTAACTGCGTACATACTAACTCGATGAGTAGAGAATCTGTAGAATACAGTAAAATTAAAAGTAACCAAATAAAAAATGATAATAACAAAATACTACTGATTACGGAGATGTGGTAGTACATTTTCAGTATCGATAATGATTGCATTTAGTTTAGTGACAATTACTTCATCATCAAGTGACATCAGATAAGGAATCATTGGTAATCGGCGTAGAAACTATTGAAAGGTTATGTCATGTCACAAACGGATTACATTTGAAGACTGTAGAATATCAGTTTTTAAGACAGAAGTTTCGCATATTGGGATACTAGGCATGGGAGGTGACGACTCTGTGTTTTACGACAGAAGGGATCCAGAGCGTGTTCTGATGAAAAATGTGCTGTGTAATGTCCCCTGAATATCACAAATACTTTAAGTCATCCACTTGCAATAAAAAAAAGTAGCTTCAAGCTAATTAATCTCTCAAGACTATCATTATCAACTGCACTGATATCACATCACATTGACAGATAATAATAATAATAATAATAATAATAATAATAATAATAATAATAATAATAATAACTGCACAAGTGAAAAGTTAACTCGAGACAGAGTAAATAGAAAAAATGCCATCAGCGTATAATAACCTCTAACTAGAAAATAATGGTACCTCATTGAAAACGTCTGAACAACTTTGTGTGCACACATTTACAAGGAAACTGACCAAGTCAAAAGATGAATCCTAATTAAAGTTTGACAGGGTATTTGTTAGTAAACAGTTCAAGAATTGTAGCCGATTGGTTTATGCCTTGGACTAACTACTACTGTTCAAACTCTGCTCCACTTACTTTGCTTCGGGTAACCCAATTATAACGTGAGCTCTTAGATGACATTAAACATACATGAGCAGTCTAGCAAATAAACTTGTTCTAGGTTGTTGAAATGGATAACACTCGTTGTTTTTAAGTATTTCAGTGTACCAGTTAAGTGAAAATCTAAGTTTAGGTACTCAGAATATAACCAAACCGACCTAGAAAATATTTCCTTGTAATTACCTCTTCATCATGATGACCAACTTATACACACTACAAGTAAAATTCCATCTACTACAACAACTAACTTTAAAAGCCTTTTTAACATGAAAATGACGTTCAGTTTTGACCAAATGTGTAACTATAATGCTTTCTATCGGTTTTGTACCCTTCAGTCAACGAAAAACGTCCACAGAATATGATGCTCGAAAATGCAGCAGCGTGGCTGCTGCAAACAGCACCATAGAAGCAGATAAACCAGCAAACATTTCAGGAGCTTAATACTGGTTGAATGAGGACTTCAGCATGATTTTTTTCCCTGAAGCCATCTCTTAAACACTGATAATCTCCTCAATCATCTCATTCCAAGAGAAACAGCGTCAAGAATGATTTTTTTTAAAATAAAAACTTACTATTCTGGTGTATTAATAGTCGTATAAACAGTGACAATCTCACCTTGTTTCTCGAATCGTGAATAATCATTATCGCCTGAGTAAGTTGAATCAATAAAGTCTTTCAAATCACTATCAACTGACTTCAACGGCAATCGATAACGACATAACAGATCAACAAGACGACTACCATACGCATTTGCGAGTGTTGTTATAGCTTTAAAATATGGAAGATTTGAACAGACAACTGCATCGTCAATCGATTCACTGGATAACTAATAGACAAGAAGGAAATAAAAAAGTACCTTGATTGAATAACTGGAGAAAGTTTCTTTCTACAAGTGAAGTATGGGAAAATACATTATAGAGAACGGCTGTAACCAACCAATCATATAAACGCAAAAAGGAATTTGGTGCCATACTGTGCTGCAACGTTTTGTGTAGACGGGTGGGTGAAAGATAAGGTATATAGCACACACCCAAATAACCGTAAAACATTTTGCAAATTAGATTCCCGTCTCATGAAAATGATACCGGTGCAGTTTTCTACAGTGCATAAGAAAAAAGGCAAGTGCTGCAATAATGCTACAAGCAAACGGATAAAACGCAAATTGAACGTTATCTTCCTGAAACCAGTTGAGATCTCTCTGAAAACTAGTGAATATATTGCGACTAGAGTATGATTGGGTGGGGAGGAAAACTAGTGTTTAACTGCGTTGTCAAGGTATAAGATTTGTTAACGATACTCACCAACATGTGAAATGTTAACTACTAGACCTTACTTCAATAGTTTGGCAACAGGGTGTGGGTTGCAGACCCAGTAGGTTACGAATTCTGACTTAAGAACTCCAGAAAAGTACTAGGTTAGCATGAAAACCTACAATATATATTACGCTGTGAGATAATTGTTTTTATGACTACTAGGTACGAATTGAAGGTTAATTGAAACTTTCATCCTGATCGATATTGAATTTATGCTGGAAGAGACGAAACAAAAAGTCGAACAAGATATCAGTAACTCAACAAATTTCATCAGAATGCACTAATTACTCACACAAATTTTTAAAGCAACACATACCCCATAGAGAGGTATACTAAGTGATACTCTTAAACAATTGCATCGAGTGAAGTAACTTGTAATATTTCGAAACCTAGTTGTGTCAATACTGCTGGTTGATCAAGTACTTCGACCATTGAAACCATTATGTTAACTACCTTTTTGGAATTGATTCTGTCACAGATGTAGCATTCAGCAACCCTGTTTGCGAGGAGGAACTCATTCTGGTAAACTGTGGGTAAAGCTAATCAAGTATGTGCAATGCATTCTAATTCATGACGTCTTGCTCCATGATTCAGAATTTCAACTTACAGGACTCAGCTGATGCGCAGCAACTAGATGCCAAATAACTGGATATCACTTGTGAAACTAATCACCCTGGTGTTGTATTGATTTCGGTTGTAGTTATGACGTTTTCTTTTTTATTTTATGGCGATAAAGATCTTAAATGCATTTAGGTCGTTACTGAATCATTTTTCTGAGAAAGTGTACGGCTTCGAAAGCCATACTGCTGAAACCGGTGAAACGTAATACGTTTACGAAGCTGTACATGTAATTAAGTATATGGAAACAGTCTACTCAGGCTAAACCTGTGGAAATTGCTATCATGACTACAGAACTAAATTAATTATAAACCTCGTATGAAGTTATTTTCAGGATAACATCTATACTACCCTGCTTATGTGATCAGTGTGAAGGATTTATGAAGCTTTTGCTACTGCAGGTAACCTCATAAGTAAGTAAATTGAAAAAAGTATCTAACCGTCCATGATTTATGAGTGAGTATTGATGATTCGAATGTAGTGGGAAGTGAAAAAAATCTTACGAAACAGGTGGTACTACTAAGGTTCATGTATAAGTGGTCGTTTCAGTTCGAAATGAATATAGTCAGCTATGTTACTGCTTCCGTCTGATACCTGGAACTATTAGTAGGCTGACCATAAATTTGCAGATGTCTGTATCATATCCGTTTACTCGGAGACCAATTTATTCCATCATCAGTAATAGGTGCAGCAAATGTTTCATTTATTTGCTTAGACAATCAGGATACCAAGTGAAGAAATCGAATACAACCGTTATTTGTCATTGTGTGTGATGTGTTTGCAGGTAATCGGAAACCAAAGGTGAAAGGGATATGGTAAATCTAAACGAATCACAAATATATCACCGATATGTTTCTTTTCAATAAATATCACTCAGGGTTTAATGGAAGACGATTTACAATTCGAGAGTCTTTATTATTGTCAGAAATATTAAAATATGATTTGGTGCATAGTAACACTGAGTTTTCAAGAAGACTAGGACACAAATTGCACTTAAACCGAAATCTATGCTGAAAGATGAGTGTTATTGTTCTAGATTATGCTTCGCGTGTTTGAACCTTTCTCGGAGGCTTTTAGAAATCTAAATCAACTTGTCTACAACCTGAGAAATAAAACTTTAGATGCCACAGTTATTCTACGCCTTAATAATACTGCCATAATAATACATCATAACAATACTGCTAGTCTGCACAGGTGCTATGTATTTTAGATCTGCCTTTTTAGATCTTACTTCTGCCATTCATTCTGTCCCTAGACCCGTCTTATTCAAGAAGCTTGTCAAAACTCAAATTGACTCCTGAATTGTGAACAGAGAAGACAGTGCAGTCTTTTTAGAGGTAACAACTCTACTTGGCTACTCAGTAAAGTCGGAGTGCCTCAGTGTGCTGTTTCTACTCCTTTTACTTTATATTTTTTTCGTATGACATACCAGCATCAACTAGGCCATTTTTTGTTAAGTACACAAATGATCATCTCCTCTGCACATTGTTCTCAGTTTGATAACTTATGTATCAAAATTTGTCACTGTTTGGCGTTAAACAACCTTACACTTAATCCCTCTAATTGCGAGATAGTCAATTTTATATTAAGACGTGAACAGAATGAACACGATTTGTGCCAGTCCTGTATACTATTGTCTTGTAGATTGCTCCGTTGTTCAGAATTTAGCAAGTGTGATCCATCTTGGCTTATGCTTTTCTACTGATCTTTCTCGATTCCCTCATATCTTACTGATTCCCAGGAAAATTATTCGCTTAACCCCTCACACGACAGAACTCACTGTCTGGTAGAATTCACCCTCTACACTTATCTTTCACTAATTCCTGTTTTTCGCCTACGTTTGCCTATTGTTTCACCTTATTCTTACCACAACTGCGGAAGAGAGACTACACCGTATTGTGTTGATTTTGAAAGCTGTTGGTAGAGCAAGTGGTACATCACTAATCATGCTGATAGATGCAGTCATGGATGGATATCTGAACGCATGTGAGCAGCTGGCCACAAAATATGCAACCAAATCCCTCACTATATCTGTCTTCTAGGAAGACAAGAAGCAAATATATAAAACACTGTGTACACACAAATGCATACAAAACATCAACTACAGCTTCTTCATCTTGTGTATTGTGTGAAGAAAATCAAGTAAGACATTGTCTTGTTGATGAACTGTGCAATAGCGATCACGTAGTGTAAACCTGAGGTCCCTAACATGTCGATTATGAAGTTATTCTATATAGATTTATGCTAAGCAGCAGTTATGTTATTATATTATATAAAACAAGTTGTATAAGGAATAGACTCGAGAGATATCACATGCTGAAACTTGTGTGTTTTAAATATAATTACGGTTTAAACTATTGCATACATATAATTATTATTATTGTTTAGCTTTCTAATCCATTCAGACTCAATTATTCAGTTTTCCGATTTCTGAGTAAAAACTATATGGTCAAATGAGGAGTTAGGAGAAACGACTGAAGACACATCGGTCTGCCAGAGCTTTGCAATCTTAATCAAAAGTAGAATGATAGATCATTATAATGCCAGCTCTTAACAGCAATGTAGTTCAATGAATGAATATACTATCCGTTGATACTTTGTTCATCATTGAGTCCCAACTATAATAAGATAAATACTGAAATCACTTGTCATCTGTATTCTACTGAGAACGTAATAAATAACCAGTCTAAACAATGAACAGAGTTTTGAATGTACAGTCAGTCAAATGATGATGCCATATACTTTGCGTGACTGTCAGGCTAAAATTATGAGTCACTTATTAAGATGATTGGGAAAGTTTGTAGCTCAGTATGCAGATAACACTGACTATATTTTTATTCGGATTCCATTACTCCAGTTCCATCACTAAATCATAGAAAAGATATTCGCTAAAGCATTTATACACAAGATATGCATTATAAAACCATGATAATTACAATTTAACTCACATAGTAATCACCATTAGTATGGAGAAGTCAGCAGTGAGAAATAACTGTAGGGTTGTATTCAAGTGATCAGAAACTGTGGTTCTTCACAAGATGTTATATTCTCATCCAGTAACTCAGACTTTATATACAAATCAGAGTTAGCTGGTGCTTGATTCCATGAATTATCATTCGTCCATCGTCATAAAAATTCAAAATAATCTCTTTTTCTCAAAATAGAAGCAAAGTGCAATCTGGCTCAACTTCTAATGAGAGAGAAGAAACAACATCTTAGCTGTGCATAGGTGGTAAACATTGCATTGGCTTGTAGCGTTTTGCATGTGTATTTGCAACCGTGTGTGGGTGTCATTCTTTAGCGATAGAAGTGGTCTGCTGATAGTTGATTTTATTTGACCATGAAGCCAGCAATTAGCTAAAGTGATGACAATTGGCTCGCCCTCCCTTCAGGAATGTTCCAGATGATGTCAGTCACCTTCCATACTCACTGTCATTCGCATACACACTCCCTCTCATATATCCGTCAAAGTGGTAATGTGATTTTACCAATGATTCACACTTCATTTTTCATTCATTAACACAGAAATTACCGTTAAACAGAGACAGACAGCGCCATGATTTACTAGAGAACTGCCAAGAACACAAAATTCGTAATTCTCAACATTGTGAATATGAGCAACAGCCTATGTGATTGCGTGCATTGAAAAAATTTGGCTACGTTCATAACAGAATGCCAAGACACTGATGGGAGATAGATGTTCCCTAAGACTCCTGTCAATACAGAACTATAATAAATTGTTTATAAGCAAATTACTATTACAGTGTTCATGTTTTTCTTCAGAGAAATAAGCTGTGAGTTGCTAAAAGTGTGCTCATTGAAACGAAAGATAAGCGCAATATACCGCACTGGTTGCCATCCTCATACATCAGATGAGTTCTGTTTAGCTGGTGCACTGTGCCATAATTCCTCATTCAACTGTTCATCAGCCAATGACTGACATGCCGTGGATTAACAGGGTTTCTAACTGAAAGACACTGATGAAAACAGTAGTTGCTAAACAAGATTACGACACTTTTCACAAGATTGTCATCAGATGCATGCAACTTGAAGAAATGAGTAATAAGGATAACAGTCCTAACACACACTTCACTTCTTGTAGTATTACTTCACTCTCCTAGACAGCGAAATGATTGCCAAGGTATCCATGGTTTCATACACACTAATCAACACTGTTGATTAAAAGGATATGAATGTTCTGATGTGTGTTCAACATTGCTCTTCAGGATGAACGGAGATGGTGACAAACGAAACACTGGCGTACTTCATACCCTGATGAGGTCTATGTTGAGAGTAGGACATGAATTGTGTCAAAGTGTTCATTATGAAAAATGCAGCTGCGCATATTGTTAAATGGATTCTGGTACTGAATGAGT